CAGGAATGTGAACCGGTCCGCTAGACAGGATAGAACATGGAGGTTAAAAGGAAGGAGAAAACGTTTCCATATAGAAAACAGCAACTAGGATCCTGTGAAGAAACCACAGAAAGCAAGGACCTGGAGTCTGTACCTTTAAGAAGCGTTTGCAAAAATTAAAAGTTACAGCAGCTCATGTAATACAATGCTTGACACTGAATAATGCACCCTTCCTCCAGACTTCTTGGCTTGACTTCTGAAGAGCAGACAGGTAGCCACAGAGTACCTATGAAAAAAGTCCTTGCAGCATAGCATAGCCTTGCAGCAACATATTTCCTAAGATCCTCCAGGTTCTTCCAATAAATTGGGTGCAATTCTGACTAATTTATTCTTCTTTGTGAAATCTGATTTATTCATGCATTGCTGATTCCAGAATTATTCAGCCTTCCTTTCTGATAGATGTTCCATGACTGCAGCAGGTTTCTCTAGTCCATCACTGTATAATCTCTGTAGCACATTTACTTTCCTAAAGTTCACAAGCAGCTGATCTTATTCTGCATACCCATTTACCTTCTGGTGTTTCACAACACAATAATAAAAGGGATGGCAGGGGATTAAAGTGTGAACCTGATCTCAGCCTTCATCACAGCCAGCTGGGGGTTAGCCCAGTAGCTGGAGGGAGGCAGGCTCATGCTGGATGCCACTGGGATTAGGAAGGGTTTTGGTAGGCTGGATGAAGAGTCAGCTGTGGGAAACTGGAAGTGGTTGGGCAAAGGGTTGGAATTGTGTGCAAAGAAGATACTGCTTCTCAGTGGAGCCAGTGACTCAGACAACATGCAGACCTGGGCAGAAAGACTGAGCCTGGAGCTCAGGAGTGGAAATAGAATGCAAGTTAAGTGAGACTGGGATAAAGCTCTGGGACTAGGAAAAATTACAGCAGTCCCAGTCAGAGTGGATAAGCAGAATCAGTCAAACATGAAAAAAAGAACAGAATGTTTTCCTTAGGCCATTAGAGTGCAATCCCCTTCAGATGCTGGAGTAAAGCACACAGACCCCTGCGTTAGGAAGACTGAGAGTCAAGGACTCCCAAGCTGTGATCGATGTGTGGCTAGACTGTGATAAACTGACCATCTACTTAAAGATGATCTCACAGTGGATCTGCAAAATGGCATCAAACTAATTAATTTAGGTTGCTCTTAGTCCTGGCATTTCCTAACTTTGATGTGCTTGACCTTACCACACTAATAACACTCTTTTTTCTAGAGACTACACACACACAATAAAACATAGACAGCAGCAGCCTCAAATAATTATTCTGTATGTTTTAAAATGAAGGTCAAATATCCTTTGATTTTAAATACTGATTTTGCTTGCATTAATCTTTCTTTCAATTTTTTCCTCTCTGATACAATTTTCTAACTGTAAAAGTGCACTATAGACTGCCAGCCATAATTATGATTTATAGAATAGTCCCAGGTGTCTTCATGTTAATGATGACATTTTGAATGAATGCATTAATTGATCATTCCATTCATAATTACTTTGCAAGGATCTAGTCTGTCAGTGCTACCTTTGAACAAAACCACACAAAGAACAGACATGTATGAGAAGGGGCCGAGATGCCCCTTGCTTGGTGTAGGAGCTGGCTGTCAGGGTTGGGGGGTGAGAGCTGGTTGGCCTCCAGAGGTGCCTCCCCACCTATGCGATGCTGAAGCCAGCTCCTCTCCCCGAGTCCCTCCCTTCACTTGAGGACACAAGATGAGGGAAGCTTTCTCATGGCAGCAGGACACACATGGTCATTCCTTGTGTCCTTCCACCCCACCTCTAGGCACAGCGCCTCCCAAAAGCTTGATTTGATCCTGCTCGGGGCTGGGGGGTCGGACTCAATGATCTCCAGAAGTCCCTTCCAACCCCTAACATTCTGTGATTCTGTGACTTTTGGGGTATGTTGCTGATCCTGGACAAAAGCTGTGTCATATTCATCAGCATTTCTTCTCAGTCATGAAAACTAGCTTCACAAAGTAGCTTTATTCTAGGAGCTAGGGCTTAAATAAAAGGAAGTATTTTGAGATTTGTGATTTAAACAGGGTAGGTGGGAGGATTGTGGATGCTACTGGTGGTTCCATATGGCTGGACCTGATTTTGTGAGATGAGAAACACAGAAAGCACAACTGTGGCTTAGTCCTCTGCTCTTTGGAAGGTGTGTTTTCTCTAGTCTTCCAACCTTTGATACCTTGTATGGCACTAATGGCATTGTTAAGAGGTTAACAAAAGTTTGTTTCTGATTATTTTATCATCTGTACTCAACAGACCTAAGGGCTTTGGCCAGCTCCCAAGTGTTTACGTTATTGGGTTATAGTTACAGAGGACACAGACATCTTTAGCTACATAAAAGACCCACAGACCTCTAGGTCTCAAGGGGCTCTGCACCTGCCTGAAGGAACCTTCTGCTGGTTTGAACAGACACAGAGCAATGTTTCCTGCCGTCCCGTGACCACCCTGGGAACGGGTAGAAGGATCTCCTCGCTCTGCAGTGACAGCCCTTTCCTCAGGGCTGCCAGGAGGGAGCAGCCAGCCTGCCCTGCCCTGTTTCAGGAGCCCATCGCCGCACACGCAGCGAGGCAGCAGATCCCA